GTACTAATTCCTGCATATGTTTGTATGAATGTGTGTTTGACATTGTGTGGGGTTTAATGCAAAGGTCACAGTGTACACGCTTACGAACAAACGAACAAACATCCATAGAAAAGGTCTCAGGGTCGAAAACTTTGAAATTCGTTAACGTGAATTAACGATTACGACAGCTTCTTAAAATAAGTGCTGATAAAAAAGTAAACCAAAAACGATATCGACATATGTACACTTGTATCTGGCACCTTCATTGATGCTGGGAAATTTGCTGCAATCACACCTATGTATCTTCAAAAATGGTAATAAGAGTGATACATATCGTCGCTGGAATAATGAAATAGTGTAACATGAAAAGTATAGTTTTGAGAAAAACGAATTGGAAGTTTTTATAAACCATTACAAACCATACAAATACATTTTCGTTTTTCGGGAATAAATTAGTGAGTCAAAGAGATATTTAAGAAAACTAAAGATTTTTCTAATAGATTAAAGGATTGTCTATCCAATGGTGCAATTATCGAATAATAGTGTATGTGGCATTTACACTGTTTCTTTATTCGAGCGACGATATAGTCGTTTAAATTACAAAACTGCATATCAAGAAAATGCAAAACCTAGTATGTGCGGTTGCCCAAATTTTATAGGCGAGAGTAAAACTTGTCTTATTTCAAAACGGTTCGCCCTTTTTTCCCCAATTATCTCTTCTTATTTCTAAGTATCGATATTTTAATATGAATGGATAAGAGCTTGATGCCAGGAGCTTGCGGTGAGCAAATATGTTTTTTGGCACAAATGTCAGTTACGAGGTTTTGCAGAACCACGTTACGCGGTTTTGTGTACGTTCTACTATTTCGAACCTAGCAGTTTTCAGTGAGTACTGTATTTCTTCATTGGTCATCAGTTTGACTAAATTTATACCGATTTCTCGAAAGCATTGGATAAAGCGTCCCATAATATGCTTATCCACAAGTTATCTCTGTTTGGTCTTCATTCTTGTATTATTAATTGGTTTAAGTCCTATCTGTATAATAGACAATGTGTTATGATGCTAGATAACGTCTCGTCGGTACCTTTCATAGCTAAATCTGGTGTCCCTCAAGGGAGCATTCGACAGTGGTTCGGATAGCAGATCTATCTGGATGCAAGACAAAATTTTATTTGTTCTTAAAATACTTAATGCTGCTTGGAATGCATTCCTGACAATACATTCAAATAGAAATTGCATTTATTAAAGCAATAAATATATGGAAACAAAAATAAAAGTAAGTCGACGCCGTCTATTTGAGAACGCTATTTTAAAAAACTTAAATTTATTATAAAAGATTGCTCATAGCACTCACAAATAGTTGCATAGTTGCAAATTGTCCTTAAAAACAAAAAATTAGACTTAGTTTTCGTCTTAGATTCAGAGGTCAACGCAATTGGTATAATTAAATTTATACTGAAAATTCGTCGTTTCGCTAAGTTAAAAAATAGATTAAAGAGTAGGAAAAGTAAAAGCCGCTGAAGGCTGTTATAAAACCACTTGAATATTATGCTTTACACCTTCTGAAATGCAGAGGCTAAGTTCGATCACCATGTCTAACCAACCAATTGGCTTAGATATTTACATTTTAGTGATGGTATTTCAAATCTCAAAATTCAAAAGTAATTATTAGCAGGAATTTATACTATTGTAAACTTTATATGACAACTATATAAGAGTTTTTAGGGTAGCGGATCAGTGGCGGATCCACGAAGGACCGGGACGGGGGGTTTAGGGGTTAAAACCCTCCCTTAAATCGAAGAGAAATAGTTTAGTAATATCGGTTTAGAAAAAGGGTTCTTGAGAAAAAAGGATGCGAAATAAAGTGTTAAAGCACGAAATTTTAACATACACTAAGTTTTTTGCTTTATTAATAAAACATGTTGATACAACTGGATCACAAATTTAAATTTTGTTTTTGTTCTCCAGACGCCACTATCCAGTTTGTATGTAGAATCGCTCTGACCCCTAAAATTGAGTTAACTTTTTTCTTTGTGGATACGTTTTCGAAATATTTGAAATTTACCGTTAATCAGCTTAAAAAAAAAAAGAGTGGGTCCACTTAAGCACCTATAACTTACGAACCAATTGTGAAATCGTAATACGTGATAAGGCAATTGAAAGCAAATAAAATTCTCCATATATACATCTCTTTTCGATAGCGCTGATAGTTTCGGATAAATTAATTCATCATTCCAGATTTTTTGATTTTTTGATGAAAAAATTCAAACTTTAACCGAGACAAAATTGAAAAAGAATTTTTTGTATGAATCTAGCTGTACCCTGCCACGCTTTGCTGTGGCATATCCCTGTTACATTGATGATAAAAAACACAGCATACGTTTCATATAGGTTTGATTTTGCAATACTTGTGTCTACGCAATATTTTTCATTTTTCCTTTCTCTACGTAGATACTTATCAAGGCTATCTGGTTAGCTGACACGTGAACACGCAACATACATTTCCCCATATAGTAAGCAATCGGCATATAAATCTAAACCACATTTTTCCAAAGAGTGAACTTAAGCTTTTTTGATTCTAAATGGAAATGGTGTATCGGTGGAAATCATGGGAATTCGAGGGACGAGGACATCTTCACCTTTGAAAGGTCACGTTAAAATCTTTGCTTCCACTACATTCTTCATCAATTTCTAAACTACGAGTCGCGTGCCATTGTAGAGTTTTGGCTGATAAATATTCCGCGCTATGATGTTTGGCGCACTTATTTTTAGTTTCAGTATTTGGGGTCATC